ATTTCTAGAGCAGCGGCTCACGAGGTCTCCAGTCGTCTCTGTCGCGAGCGAGACTAGCCCAGAGGGGGCAATACGGCTAGAAGTGGGCATTGTGCACTTTCGCTGTTTCCTATTGTCGTGTCGAGCCATCAAGTAGAGAACTGTGAATTCTTGTGGAGCCATGAAGTAATACATCAAAGTTTGTATAGATTACTCTTGTGAAGAATACCTGTCGACCTTTGTAAAGCAATGAATACACGATGGGAAGTAGCGAAAGTGCACAATGCCCCTCCCAAGCCGAGCCAATTCTTCCGCAGAGTCCTCCATCACAACTTCGTCCGAGGACGTCAAACTTCCTAGCTAAACTACGGCTAAACTTTAGTGATTTGCTGGGTGAGGAGATACTGAAATTACGACTTGACGCGATTCTATTTAGGGGAGGGACATGCACTTCCGCTAGTTCTTTCACTAACAGTTCATGTTCACTAACAGTTCTCAACTTGATGAGACTTGTGAACACTTGTGAAGCCACTAAACGACCCACTTTAGTACAAGACTTTACAGGTCTTCACAAGATGGCCTGTACAAGTTTTGCAGAACACCATGTGGTACCCCCACCAAGCCGATCGGCGCCTTGGGATTTATAGGATTCTCAAAAATCGCCAGTTATCGAAGGCGAGAACCTCTTATGAATAAAGCCGAGCGCTAACCAATAAGCTTTCGCCTGCATTTTCTCTTCTTGTGTTTTGCCTGTTTTGCCTCATAAAGCCGAAGTGCTTGCTTTCACATCTAGAGTGCTTTCGATTTTCCCCTCGTTAATCTGAAAACCCCTTGACTGCCGTTCTCTTGCCTCTCCTCAAACCGCTTTGCCTCAGCTGAAAAAATCCGACCGAGGGAAGCGCATTAGCTATTGCGTCATCGTTTCGAAATCATGGGCTTGGTGGCGCGCCCTCAAATTTTCGAGGCGGACGCGAGTCCTTTATTTCAACGTTCCTTGGATACCGATTAATCATTATCTCGATAGAGGTGGACGAGGTGCTTAGCGCTAACTCACGGGCCGCTTAGCGCTAGTTGCCTTCTTGCGACGCGCTATGTATTGCCGCTTTCGTTTGAAATCGGAATTGGCACTCTAACTAGGGGCACGTCGTACATAAAAAGATACCAAAAGGGATCGCTTTTGGTGCTGAAGGGACAGGGATCGATATTTACGCCGATGCAGAAAAAGGTCCTCTTTGACCGTTTGATATTGTCGCTGTTTTGTAAAGGCTGGTATACCTCTCCTTTCGAGTTGGTGGAGCAGTAAAAAGCTGCTAAGTTTTCTGATGAGTTGCTGAGCAGTGGTCTTACAGTCCAGTTGATCTCAGGTGTCACACCGCCTCCCCGCCTCGTAGGCAAAATTTTGTCAAGATGTTTGGGGCAATTATCAATGATCGTTCGGAGTTGTAGAATGAGTCCTGCACCTTAACAAGAAATTCCTCCCAAGGCCAGGTCGTGCCTGAGGGGTTCGAATGCTGTGAAGCCGGTGCCCTGACTGAGGCCTCCTCTGCGGAATCGCAGTCTTTCTTGCGATGCGACATCCTAATCGATAGAGGTGCGAAATTGGGTGACAGTCAGTCGCTCGGAGGGGTTGAAGCGGCTTGGTCCTCTGGGGTGATTGGTATCTTCCCACCTATTAGTCTTCGAACCGCCGTGTGGAACAGTGCATTTAACAGCCCCTCCCATCTCAGGCCGATGACCATGAGGTGCCTTATTTCATATCTTCCTGGGAAGTTTTTTGATGACGTGGAGACTGGAGAGAGTTACTTTAGCCCCATGAGTGAAGGTTTTTTTGTGGGATAGAACTTAGCTGCGAGCCGTCCATGAGATTGTAATTTAGCGTGACAGGCTCAATCATTTCTCAGGAATCTAAATCCGTGTAGATTAACTTGAGGGTTGAACACAAAACGGTAGAAATCTGGCGTGTGAAGTGTCTAGACGCGCCAGGCACAGCCCAAGTCTAGACGCGCCAAGTACAGCCCAAATCCAAAATACTATGTCGCTCGAGTGACGCTTTAATTCTTTCCCAGCTCGTTCCAGAAGGGGCGTTTTGGAATAGTGTTAGTGACCATGGGAGGATCACCACCTTGCCTTATTCGGGAGACGGGCAAGAGAATCGTAATTTGCCGCTCCGCCGCGCGGCGGCGGGCGCGGCGTTTTCTTAACTCGTGTTAACCTGTCGATTGGAGCACCGGACTTCATGTAGACCCCGTCATCGTAGACATTCATGACTATTTTCGGTTCTGAATTGCCTGTTGTCGCCATCTACTACCTGGAACCATCGTCATTTGCGGGCGCGACGTCGCACGCGACGCCTACCAGATTCTCTCCATTCTTTACGATTCTCTTGTCACATACCCGCCTTATTCGATCTTCTTTGTCGAAAATTCTATTGGAATTAGATTTGGCCAAGTCTTCTTATTTGGTAGTTTCCCCTCCCTCGGAAAACAAGCATCACATCCAAAAACGCGTGGTGCTCGAATTAGTTTACTTGCGGTCCGGCGGTCCCGGCAGTCTTGGTCTGGGCGCGATGTTTTCGCTCCGCACATAATGACAAACATACTGATGCTAACATCCGTTTTCGCAGAGTCAAACTACCCACTGGAGAAGATTTATAACTGAATCTTTCTTCAAGAGGAAAATTTCAACGAAAATCCAACCCAAAGGATTTTCATTCGAATCTTCCTCTTGAGGGAACTCTAAGGGAAAGCCAGTAAAGAGCCCTTAATGACTGATCCTCGAATGGCGAGGAGCATTTAGTGTGATAGAACTTGTTTTGTTACTAGGGTTAGGTTGGTGGGTGACGGATGGCGTACTCGTCTGGGAAGAGGCACACTTAAGCTGTCTGGGTTGGCCCTGGCTCATCATTACAACCTCTTCGTGGCCCTTTCCAAGGTTCTATGAATCACGTGCACTCTACGTGGTTACTCTCATGTTCACAACTCCCGTAGTAACGTGATATCCCTGTCAGCTGTTAGGGTTTTTATCAATTTTGAACGTACGTGATAACCACGGATATCGAAGAACGATTCCAAGAAAATCATTTTTTACTAACACTTGATTAAGGATGGCTTCCTACTCGCAGTACCTCACCAAAGAGCAAGAGGATGAACTACGCAGCATTGCCAACGCTATTGTGGCTCCCGGAAAGGGAATTCTCGGTGAGATTTAGTCGTCTAGATCTTCGTGACAAACGCAGGAGATCTGGGGGGGATATGCATTGGGGCGGCTGTGCTACGTCATGTCTGCTCGTCTGCGCTCTCTCACCAAGATAGCACGGAAATCTGTTCTGAAATAGTTCCAGGCATGTTTAGTGAACGAAGTCGGTTGGGAACAGGAGTGTGGCATACAAACCTACCCGACAATTTCGGTGAGAAGAGGCAGATGAGCAGACTTGACGTGGCGTGCCCCCCCCCCATTTAGCACATTGGGCTCGGTCCTATCACGGGTAATTACTTATGGTAACACTTATGACACCCCCTTCAGCTGCTGATGAATCCACTGGTAGTATGGAAAAGAAAATGAAAGGCATTGGCACGGAAAACACTGAAGAACAGCGTCGAAAGTACAGGCAGGTAAGCATCGATACTGTACTAGCTAATCAATAATTGATTGATAACTGTTCATTCAGCTTTTATTCACTGCAAGTCCCGATATGAGCAAGCACATCTCGGGTGTAATCATGTTCCACGAGACGTTCTATCAGAAATGTGACGATGGAACACGATTTGTTGACGCGCTCAAGAAACAGGGTATTATACCTGGAATCAAGGTGGGTTGCTGACTCCCGAATACCTAACAGAACGAAAAAAAATTCATATTGTGAATTGGCGATATGGGCACTTGAGAACTTAGCTCAACTCCTCTGTATTGTTGAGCTTATCGTTCCGTCAACGTCCCCCTAAACGCTACGAGTATTCCTGTGTGCGGCAAGAAGAAGACCAGTTAACCCTCGTTCATACCCAGCGCCCAAATGGGGAATCAGAGTAGTGCCATCTAGACGTGACTTACGATTGTGAAGAGGGCCCTGTCCATGTCAGTTTATCGCATGTGAAATTGTTCTCTGCCTATGGCCCATAGCTCACAGGGGCCATCTGAAACCATAAAGGGCCTCCAGCAGCCCAGACTGAGCGCCATGGTTCACACAGTCGGGTTTGCTCCCGATGCTGAGGCATGTTAAGAAGGCTTAGCGGAGCACCTGCCTGTTCTCCACCAACTGTTGTTCCCCCCCCCCCCCCTCTCAACAGTTGGAGGAGAAAAGGCCACCCTGACACGTCTCAGAATGCAGGAAACAAGACTAAACTAGTTTCGATTACCGTTCTGCGCATTTTGTCAATCCCTCAGATAATCTTCAATTTCCCACACGTCGTCCATCTCTGCATAGTGAATCTTGGTTCTGATTTAGAATTGTGGTAAAAAAACTGTAGGGGTGGCAGGGGGGAAACTTTAGTCCACACTGAATGTTTTCTATGGTCGGGGCTTCCCACTCAAACCATCTTCAACAAGATTAGCAGAACAGTGAACGCTTTCCCAGAAGGTTCAACAAGATGGATCATATTTACACAGACTACAACAGCGTTCGTCGGAGGCTCACAAGAGAATGAGATGCCATCATGCCTCACGAGAAACAATTTGGGAAGGTCTAGGGAAATACTACCATTACTAAGAAGCATTTCTGAAGCCTCTGAATTGTTGATCGTTTTCAAATTCGAGCTTTTGACACTAAATGCCTTCATCGGCCTGAACGCAACTCTACGTAAGTTTATAACGGCTACGACAGTCGCGACAACCAGTCTTTACAAACCAGCGATGGAATAGGCAGACCTATCGACGCGATGATAGGACCAGGGAATGGCAGGCTGATGTAGCACTGATAGGATTTCGATAATAGCGCTGTGAGCCCTACCGTTAGGAAAGCGATTAGGGATGAAGTTTGTAGGAGATC